TACTTGTTTGTTTCTGACTGCCCAGACATGAAATAATCACACACAAAACTATTCCAATTGTAATACTGTTTGGCCAATAGCTTAAGCGTACTTTTGGCTAACTCTTATATCCCAAACTAATCCACCTCCATTAATTCGTCTATTGCCATATGTCTGTGACTTACCAGATAAAGTCCCATTCCTTGAAATCTGTCTCTGGCAGGGCTACATGACTTCTCATTGACTCTGCTTTCTTTCTCCCAGCATTCAGTTTATTTTTCCCGCCTGACTCTGTTCTGCTAAACCACTGACTGAAACAGTTTCATTCATTAACCAATAAAAGCAAAACATATACAGAAGGACTTTCACACCATGGGTGCATAAATAAAAATGATTATTCCTACACAGGACTCTAGGTCTACATTGACATGCTTTGGCTTACTTTTTAAGCAACTTTAAGCTTGGCAGTATACATATTTTACTCAGTCTTATTTTTAGGTTCCACATTGTGCCCCACATACTAGGAGACATTGTATACTTTTGTCCCTACTAGAAGTTATTATTTTGCAATTACAAGTGATGTAACTGAGATGAGGAGATAGATCTTTTAGGTTCATTTTGTGATCACTTAAAGAACAGATTTGGTGTTGAGGACTGAAGATGTGGTCTGTATTTACAAAAATATTTTCTGCCCATGAACTAGAAATCTTTAATTAATATAGAGGTTAAATAATATCTGACTTTTTTCAGATGCAGCAACAGTCCCAATTTAATTATAAATGGAGAAGCAATAGAGGTATGCTGTCAAAATACATGTATTTAATTTAAGTTAATAGACTTATGAAACAAATTTTAAATAGTCACTGACCTCTTTATCTTGTTATATTAACTAGTGTAAACATTCACAACTTCATCATTATTATTCTTCTACAACTTTTCAAAACTTTTGGAAAGAGACACAAAGACATAATCACTAAATACAAGGTACTACATAGAATATAAACAACACTGAAAATCAGCAACACAATGCCTGCAAGTAACACAAAGAAATTCTAATCATAATTTTAAATATTAATAGCCTCAATTCTCTAATCAAAAGACATGGACTAACTTAATGGATCAAGGAACAAAGTCCATCTATTTGTTACTTGCATGAAATACATCTTATCTTTAATGATAAAGTAAAAGTATGGAAAAATGCCCTGATCACATGGGACCAGGAAGCAGCCAGTCATCATTGTCTATCCCAATATCTGACAAATGAGACTTTTGTCACACACACACACACACACACACACACACACACACACACACACTGATTCTATAGGCTATTTCTTAATGGACCTAGGCTAATTTTACTGTGGCTAAAACAGTATCACTAACATAATATGAATAGGCAAGAGATGAATGAAATGGTCTTGTATGTTTGATGCTGAATAGGACTGTGAATGTGAATACACTTTGAATTTTTATTTAAAGTGGTTATCATTAATCAATAATTTGGGGAGTTTGATGATCCTTTGTTTTCTGAACAGCCCATCATTACAAATGATTGATGGAAACCAGCTTGGACAAAATTACCACTTACCAGGGTAGAGGCATGCAGATTAGAAGAGAAGTAAAGGGCATGTATATGCGAGGAAAATTAATAGTACCAGGAGGGCATTCCAGTGAATACTAAAATCCCAATGTTTAATTTTCCAATCACTTTTTCACCCCAACACAACTGGGGAAAGAAGACAAACGACTGCTTTAACATTATACAAATAACAACTCAAGCAATTGCTTGCTTCAATGCTTAGAGACTTCAAGTCATTAATGTTTAGTTGTTCAGGCAATGAACCCACCCAAGACCAGGTATCCTGAAAGCAGCCACTCCCAAGGTCAAACCTCCTATTTCAAAAGAAGGAGCAGAAGTCTGCTTGAATATCCTGACCATTGATCTACCTGTGTGGGTCATCATAATGTCAAAAGAATACACTTAGGTCAGGGTGTGTAGTCACACTTGTTGTCAACAACTTTGAACAAGTTGAAACTCTTTGACCTTCAGGCAAGGTGGAAATATGCTCACATTTTTGCTCTCTGCAAAGTAGAAAGGAAGAGATACATGAGTTGACTATGAGCCCATCTGACTCCATGTTCCATTCTCCTTCCTCTTTTGTATATTTACCATAGCAATGGGATCAAAATGCAGGCCATATGAGGGCAATTCAGAAAGTCAGATTTAGTATGTTTTTAACCCATGTATCAACTTTTCCTTTGAATACCAACTATAACCCAAGACTTAGACGTTACTTTGCTTTTATCATCAGATGTGTTAGAGGAAACTTCACTTGCATTTGTCTTTGAACCAGAATCTTTACATATGTAAGATAAGACTACTTCATGAAAAGAATTAGTATGCTGAAAATGAATAATATGTTTTAGACCCTGCATTTATTATACTTAATATCTATATAAAGGACTTTTTTGAGGAGAATGCTCCTGACTGCTCTGGTATAATGGGGTGGCCATGAACACCCAGATGTCCACATGCCTCTTCATCTTGAATTCTATAATTAAATGTGTAACACTACTTCAAGCTTGAGGGTATTTTGATAAATTTCTCTATGTATGGAGTTTTCTATTTCATATTTCTTCAAATAATATCCCTTCACCTGTTCCTTGTGGGTTGTTCTAGGATTTGTTATTTTTTCTATAATAATTTTGCTAATATTATTCTCTTTCCTGCTTTCCATTTGTTTCCTACTAAATATTGCTTCTGTTGATCAAATATTTAGTGCTTTGAAGTGAAAGTAGCAAAACCACAAAGAATTTCAGGATTTTATAGATTCTTTAAGACTAGTCAAAATGCTATTCACTCCATGAACCTATATTTAACATCCTGGGGAAAATGGTTGTTTTGATGTAAAATGTTAAAATCAAGACATTCAGTGGGCCTCTATGAACATAATAGGCATACACAAGGTTTATTCTAACATTTCTTAATATAGGACAGATTTCTTTGGGTGTTTCAATAAGAGATTGAATGATTTCTTCTATGTATTGCAATGAGAAAATGATCAGAACGTATTTAGAAACTGAACCCAATGGTACAAGCTAAAAGTGAATTAATTAGAGAATGGGAGATTAAAAGAACAAGATTGGGTAGGGTGAAGATGTTTTTTGGAAAGAGACTTGTAATTGGGATTTTTTAAGGAGCTGTGTGCACAGTATATAAAATAAGGACTCAAGATATTGAAACTTAGGTGTAAATGAATATTAAATTTAAGTGCTTGAATGAGTCTAACAAATATTTTGTTTTTTATCTTTGTAGGAGCTGACACCCAACCATATTTCTATTGACAAATAATGAACAATTTGAAACTATTGGAGGAATTTCTGTAGCAGATAAGAAAATGGATTATCTACTGATTATACTTTATATTTCAGTATTGAGAGATTATTATCTATCATTTATTAGATGTGGCTTATAGAAATTTTTATATAAATAAACAAATAAAATGTATATGAGTAAAGCAAGAATTGTAGGCATGCCAATATTCTGAAAATTGAAAAGAATTTTAAGGAATGTTTTCCAAAACTGTATATGTTCAATATAGCACACTCAGTTATAAATAAAATGCTTTATTAAATATTCCATGATCGTGTCTCCAAGCTGCTTGAAATCAGTAGTCTGTCTTTGGTAAAAATAAGTAAATAAGTAAATAAATAAATCCCACATTTTACTAATGAGTTGAAATTTTATACTCGTCATCTCCTGATCTATATAAAATCCTAACATCTCGGATAATCATTTCAAAAGTTACTGCAACAATTCAGTTCTATCCTAATACTTCATGAATTTGCAGTTACTGTAGAAATAGACTGAATTCCTGGGAATTCTGTAAGCAATAGAGGAGAGGGTGCCCGAAATAGCCTTGCCATGTAGTCAGACTGATGATTATCTTAAATATCACCATAGAACCTTCATCCAACAACAGATGGAAATAGAGGTGGAGACCCACATTGGACTACTGGATTGAGCTCCAAGGTTCAGTTGAAGAGTGAAAGGAATGAGAGTATGGGCAAGGAGGTCAAGACCATGAGAGATTCACCCACTGAGACAGTTTGCCTGAGCTAATGGGAGCTCACCAACTCCAACTGGACTGGGAGTGAACGGCATGGGATCAGACTAATCCCTCTGAATGTGGTTGACAGCTGGAGCAGATTGGAAGGCCACTGACAGTGGCACTGGGAGTTGTCTCTGCTGCATGTACTGGCTTATGGGGATCCTATTCTCTTTGGATGTATACCTTGCTCAACGTAGATGTAGGAAGGAGGGTCTTTGACTTGCCACAGGAAGGGTGCCTTGCACTCTGTAAGGATTGAAGGGGTTGAAGTGGGAGGATGTGTGGAGGCAGTAGGAGCAGGAGGGAATTTGGATTGGTATTTTGTAAGTAATAAAATAAAATAATAAAAAAGAAACAGACTGAATTTCTTCTATTCCTTTGTGTTCTTTAATTGATTTTATTGACTTATACATTTTTCTCTTCTCCCCTCCCTGCTTCTCCCTTCCCCTTCAACCCTCTCCCATGGTCCCCATGCTCTCAATTTACTCAGGAGATCTTGTCTTTTACTATTTTCCATGTCGGTTAGATCCATGTATGTCTCTCTTAGGGTCCTCTTTGTTGTTTAGGTTTTCTGAGATTGTGATTTGTGGGCTTGTTTTCTTTGCTTTACGTTTAAAAATCACTTATGAGTGAGTACATGTGATAATTGTCTTTCTGGATCTGGGTTACCACACTCAATATGATGTTTTCTAGCTCCATCCATTTGCCTACAAATTTCAAGATGTCTTTATTTTGTTCTGTTGTGTAGTACTTCATTGTGTAAATGTACCATGTTTTCCTTATCCATTCTTCAGTCTAGGGGCATTTAGGTTGCTTCCAGGTTCTGATTGTGACAAACAATGCTACTATGAACATAATTGAGAACATGCCCTTGTGATATGATTGAGCATTCCTTGGATATATACCCTGTAGAACTTTAAGACAATTCTGAAGACATTTCTGACAACTCTCAGTACTTCCCCTCCCCTGGGAACCAAGGACATAACAGCTATGCATGCACATACTGAGATGTTGGGAACTTTCCATCTCCCTGAATAGGGGCAAGATAACCTTTAGGTGTTAACTCAGTTACTGATGTTTTGACATAGTCCCTGGGAAGGGGCAAAGTGACCCTCAGAAGTTTCCCCTTACCTCATCTGATCTGGCAACCACTCTCCAGCCAATTATTGCTAATAGCCTTTTTGAATAAGCCAATCATAATAGTTAAAGAACAACCCCCAGACACCCCTTCCTTCTGTGGCTTTTCTCTTTAAAAATAGCCTGTACCAGACATGCAGTGTCTTCTAGCCTCCCGACTGCTGGAAGACCCTGTCATGACAGAATTAATAAAATCTTCATGCTTTTACATCAGCTGTGATATGAGAGATGGTCTCTTGGGGTGACTCCTCCTCCTCGGTGATTGGACGCTAGGGTCCAACAACCCAAATGTGGTAAACTGGGAAGCTGGGTGTTAAGGAAGGTTTTTTCCTAATTTTCTGAGAAATCGCCATACTGATATTTAAAGGGGCTGTAGCAGCTAACACTCCCATCAGCAATGTAGAAGTGTTCTCTTTACCCCACATCCTCTCCAGCACAAGTTATCAATGTTTTTGACCTTGGCCATTCTTACAGGTGTAAGCTTGAATCTCAGAGTTGTTTTTAAAAAGTCTGAAAAATGTACTCCCTTAAAATTTAAAGGTTTTATATTTTTTACTCAAAATTTTAAGTAATACATGTACTATCGAATTTCAAAACCCTTCCAGACTACCACTGAAGTGAAAGAGTCTAAAGGAGAAATGACAGCACCTCAAGGAAAAACATTGCTTAAGGGAATAAAACACAAAACAAGGAAGAATATGTACTTGATGGAAACATCACATTCAGAAGGAAAGTGTCAGGATAGTTGACGAAAAATGCTATAGAAAGAACCTGAATTCACAGGTAATAGTATACAAGGCAGCAAGAATTTAATAATGAATGTGCTGAGTGACTTGATTTAATTTACTATTTTGTTATGAAAAAGGCAGTAGTGTTTAGGAAGGATGTATTTATGGCTTATTCTAATTTTGTTTCTGAGTGTTATTTGTTTTAGAAAAATCTTTGAAATGTTTTTATGCAATAAACTTCATGCATTCTAATTTTTGCCTAAGGTATATTTGAAGTAATTAAAAGTATTTTAAAAATTATAAATTGACTTAGTGTTTTTGCTTAAGTGAAAATTTTATTGAGGATTTTAAAACACAACTTTTAGTATCAACATTTTAGATATTTCCTATCAATGCTTATAGATAGTATATTTTTCTAACAATTATCATGTTAAATGGTTTATCTTAACTATATATATGGATTTTTATCAAAAGAACTAAATTTTAGGTGTCACCAGAGGAAGAGAAAATATGTTTGCTGACAGGCATTGGTAAATAAAAAAGTAAATTTCTCATTTAATGTTTCCTGTTTAAGAATGTATCACAGACTCAATAAAATAACTCTTCATGCTACACAGATAACCAAATGATCATAATTTAATATTTGATTTTACCATTCACAAAATGTTACAAAACTCAATTATTTGTACATACAATCAAACATATGCATAAATCAACTTTAAATAGGGATCTGTGGCATAATAGTTTTACATTATTGAATGTATATCCATATTATAAAGTAAAGATCAAAAATACCAGTAATAATATGGCATATGGAAAAGTGAAAAAGGAGAAACTAACCACTCCTGAATATAATTCTTATTAAAAGGTTCCCACGGAATTGACAACGGATGTTTCAAACTATAGTCCTAATATATATATACATATATATATTATACATGTTGAAGAGACCCACAGTTAATATAGTCATATATATATATTATTTTTTTGATGATTTTTTTCAAAGTTTATTAAATTATAAAAGTTTCCATTTCCGCCCCTCCTCCCAACACCCTCCCACTCCCCCCACTCCCTCTCCTCCTCCCTCTCCATGCCTAAGAGCAGTCAGGGTTTCCTGCCCTGTGGGAAGTTCAAGTTCCTCCCCCCTTCCTCCAGGTCCAGGAAGGTGAGTATCCAAACAGACTGGATCCCAAAAATCCAGTATATGCAGAGGAAACAAGTCCCAGTGTCATTGTCAATGGCTTTTCAGAAAGACTCCGGGCCAGTCACATTCAGAGAATACGGCCACATTCAGAGAATCTGGTTGGATCATGTGCTTGTTCAGTCCCAGTCCTACTGGCCTTGGTGAACTCTCAATAGATCAGTCCGCTTGTATCAGCGGGTGATTGCACCCCTCACGGTCCTGATTTCCTTTTTCATGTTCTTCCTCCTTCTGCTCCTCATTTGGACCTTTGGGGGCTCAGTCCTGTGCTCCAATGTGGGTCTCTGTCTCAATCTCCATCCATCAATGGGTGAAGGTTCCCTCTGATCGTGCCTTCTTTGCTCACGTTCTCTTTCCTTCTGCTTCTCATTTGGACCTAGGGAGTTAAGTCCAGTGTTCCAATGTGGGTCTCTGTCTCTATCTCCATCCATCACCAGAGGAAGGTTCTGGCACTCTTGTCTATTTCCAATCTCCAGGCTGATAACTACATGATTGTCTTCAAGTTCACCTTATTTAGCTTCTCTAGGATCACGAATAATAGGCTCAAAGACCTTTAATTATGGCTAGAATCCACTTATGAATGAATACATACCATATTCCTCTTTTTGGGTCTGGCTTACCTCACTCAGTAAAGCGTTTTCTATTTCCATCCATTTGCATGCAAAATTCAGGTTGTCATTGTTTTTTAACCGCTGAGTAAAACTCTAATGTGTATATGTTCCACACCTTCTTTAACCATTCTTCTATTGAGGGGCACCTAGGTTGTTTCCAGGTTCTGGCTATTACAAATAGTGCTGCTATGAACATAGTTGAACAAATGTTTTGTGGTATGATAGGGCATCTCTTGGGTATATTCCCAAGAGTGGAATTGCTGGGTCTTGAGGGAGGTTGACTCCCAGTTTCCTGAGAAACCGCCACACTGATTTCCACAGTGGCTGCACAAGTTTGGATTCCCAGCAACAATGGATGAGAGTTCTCCTCTCTCCACATCCTCTCCAGCATAGGCTATCATTGGTGTTTTTGACTTTAGCTAATCTGACCGGTGTAAAATGGTATCTCATAGTTGTTTTGATTTGCATTTCCCTGATTGCTAAGGATGTTGAGCATGAACTTAAGTGTCTTTTGGCCATTCGAAGTTCTTCTGTTGAGAATTCTCTGTTCAGATCAGCATCCCATTTTTTAATTGGGTTAATTAGAGTTTTAGTGTCTAGTTTCTTGAGTTCTTTGTATATTTTGGAGATTAGGCCTTTATCCGATGAGGGGTTGGTGAAGATCTTCTCCCAGTCAGAAGGTAGCCTTTTTGTCTTACTGACGGTGTCCTTTGCTTTACAGAAGCTTCTCAGTTTCAGGAGGTCCCATTTATTCATTGATTCTCTTATTGTCTGTGCTACTGGGGTTCTACCTAGGAAGTGGTCTCCTGTGCCTATGTCTTGTAGACTACTTTACACTTTCTCTTCTATCTGG